GTATGGAGGTGTGTGGAAATATATATGCATCGGTAACAAAACGCATTTACGTTTTGTTCCAATAAACTTTGTTATTTCGTATTTCTACACACATTTTTTGTAGTAATAGCTCGATTAGGGTTACAAATAATCTAATAATCGATTATGTAAGCGGATATAATCGATTATTAACAATTAAATAGATTATAAGTAACTATATACTTATCGATTAATCGTATTGTAATAATCGATCTAATCGAGTGTACGCTTAAATTATTGGATTATAATCGATTAATTAATTAATACACATATATTATACAATGATAGAATCCGAAACGAAGATATCCGTAAAAGAACCAAAGTAACCGACATAGCTCGAAGGATACGCAAGCTGAAGTGGCAATGGGTAGGTCACATAGCTCGAAAAACCGACAACCGATGGGGACGAAAGGTTCTTGAGTGGCGACCGCGTACGGGTAAACGCAGTGTAGAACGACACCTTCCCATTAGATGGAGTGACAACTTGAAATGCATAGGTGGCTCAGGATCGTTCTTTATGGCAGTCTATGGGGGTGGTTTATGTGCAGCAGTGGACGGACAATGGCTGAAATGATGATGATGATTTCAGCCATTGTCCGTCCGTCCGTAATTCATCAGAAATTAACCATAATAGTTTCCAGGGAGAACCGCGAGGAGGTCGCCCTGGTTGGTTGTAGGGAATGTAGAAGAAAACACTATTAATTAACAGAGAATGTAAGGAGGCAGCGCGATCGTGTCTTGTTTTCGTTCAAGCGGAGACACAACAATAGTTCACCAAATTCACGCGAGAGGCGCTGCCCCCGGGATTGTTAGTAATGGAGACTGAGAATCCCATTGCTAGCAATATGTTCAACCAGGAATCCAATATCCAATGAATAACATATACCACAAAAATACAAATCTTTCCTCTTTATTCTATCCTCTTTATATTAGTGTAGATACGCGTCCTAATTGAGCACTGAGCAGGCGCCGCGCGCCGCCCTCGCTCTGTCCAATTAATAACCTGCGTCTCGGCCACCCCTTCTCAATATTACATTCCACTTAGGTTTACGAAAGTGCAGTCTTCCTCTTCTTTCTAAGATGATCACGCAATATCTTATAGATAACTAACTATGAACGTTTATTTATTTCCCATACAGGCGAACGTAGTGTTGGGCGACCCCCGTGATAGTCCGGTAGTAGTAGTAGTAGAAATAGAGGAAGGGATTGTTAGTAATTGGGTTTAACAACCCCACTGTTAACAATATATCCTGTCGGGTCTACCGCCGCGCGGTTCCCCCTGGAAACCAACCAATCGTGATTGATTTATTTCTTGATTGCTTTCATCGTCACCTGTCATCCCTCACTGGTGCCCCGCCAGTGTATACCGATAGCGCAGGCAAGGTTACCATGCCATTATTACCCATTAAAAAAGTTTTTTAAAGATTGTGTACCACAATAAAACTGACTACAACTGTAACAAAATCAGCTGTTTTGGTCTAAAAATTTAACAACTGAATCGATTTTCATAACATTTTCATGGGACCAATCTTTAACTATATTGTGCATTACAGGTTTTTGTATTTTATGCACGAAAAATTATTAATTCACCCTTGCGCCACCTGTCCATTTCTATCTGTTCTCCTTTAACCAAAGGTTGTCTGTAAGAGATCGCCCTAGCGATAAGACTAGCGCCTTTTGTCCCTTTATGTGTATATTTCAATCTGTATTTATGTTACTGTATTTCACTTGAATTATTCACTTGTCATTGTATATTTTTCTTTATGGTGCAATAAAGAATTACATAAATAAATAATAAATAAAAATATATCCTTTCAGATAAAAAAGAATTTTCTAAATCGGTTTTCAACTGACGGAGTTATGACGCAAGAAAATTAAAAAATCAACCGAATTGAAAATCTCATTGGTTCAAAATAATATCTAGGCTACTCCTCTTAAGGGAAGAAACGCTTGCCCAGTAGTGGGACATTAATTAGTTATAAATATGTACTATAAAACTAACTAACACCGCAGACGTCAATGAATAACAACAGAAATATTAATTACCGACTGTCGCGTGGGCATCAGATACCGTGTGATAAATAGAGACAGTTCCCTGACAAATGGTACTCATATATACAAAAAAAAAATATTCGTTACCATACTTTAATTGACCAATTTTCTAACGCCACCCTTTCGTTATACATTGATACTAAAGTTCCCAATAAATATCCGTGTAGATTGTTTGAAGCAGAAATGGATTGTGTCGTAATCGATTGGATGTGATTTGTCATTGCGACGTGAAAAATGTTTGGTGAAGGGCGCGTTCGAAATATGAAACTCCAAAATGATGTTCAAAACTGAATAAATCGATCTTGATAACATCGATACTCGATAGTTCCCGCGTTTTTTGAGTGTTCGTTATTATTTTTTAAAAAATTATGAAACATTTTGTTGCCAGATGTTGTGACAGTATGATAAAGGAACGCTTCTGTAACTTTACGCTTGTGTTATGGTAGATTATACCAGAGAGAGACTTTGTACAAAAGTCGTTTCCTTGGGTACTTCTGTCCCATTCGTGTTTCTACCGTGAAGCAGTTGTGATTATATGGCTGTGTTTCGGTTTGAAGGGTGGGATATGGCAGTGAATTTACAGGGTACAGAAGAATAACACCTGAGTCCTTAGGAATGGCAACGCATGGGGGGTATCATGGATGAAACAGTATACTCTGTTATGTACATGGTACTGCTCATGTATACAGGCGACGGTTACCACTTTCCATCAGGTGGGCCGTCAGCTTGTTTGCCATTATAAGTGGCATAAAAAAAGTTAGGACGGCAAAAAACCGTAGGAAAATTAGTGAAAATGCAGACCTCTTTTAGATGATGTATCAAAACAAAATATATACCAGATTTTAAGTTAGACCTTCAGGACTATAAAAACCGCATCCGATTTGGTGCATTACCTTATGCAGATGAACCAAAAAAAAATGTTTCGGTCTCTATTGGTCTTATTAGGACCCTAAGAACAAGGAATTATATAGAAGGAATGATAAAATAAAAACTGTAAATCACATGGCTGCCTCCTTTCTTCTTATGCAAATATAATTAGTAAAAAGAGGATAAAAGATACACCATCAGTTGCTATTTTTTCAATTCATAACAGGCTAGTGTATAGAAAATGTGTACAATGTGTAAAATGGCAACGCAGGGGGGGTATCATGAGCGAAACGGTGTGCTCTGTTATGTTCATGGTGCTGCTCATGTCTATAGGCGACGGTTACCACTTTCCATCAGGTAGGCCGTCAGCTTGTTTGCCATTCTAAGTTGTATAAAAAAATAAAAAAAAACATGTAAAATTTTTATTCATTTAAATTACTAGAAAAAAATATTAATAAATTAATTTATATCATCTCAAGAGAGAAGAGACGCCATTTGCTTCGAAGATGAAGAAAGAAGACGCCACGACGACATACACAGACCAGCAGTGTATGTCGGCTTCAAATCCAGTGACCCGGAGGTTGTTACCTCCAGAGTTGAAGCCGGGGTAATGGGGTACGCCCCGAGGCCCTACCTCGCCCGCCCACACCACCTGGCGGGCAATGAGAACTCTTGTTGTTGTTGTTATTTTATATATTCGACATAGTTTATGTAGAAAGTATGCAAGCAGGTTGTATCTGAATTTGGTAGGGTTATACGGCCGTATAACATTTTCTATTTTCTACCGATTACAAATAAGAGTCTTCATTTGGAACTCTTCTTTTATCTGATAGGATATATGTACTTACAGATTGGTCCCATACATTTTATCACAATCGGTTCAGAAGTTTAGTTTTTAAATACAAATAACTACATCTGGCACAGTTGAAGTCGATTTTTATGCAATACAATTTAATTATAAATTTACTTTGTAACACAATACTTTTGTTAAATTATCAATTTTAAATTTCACCTTTCGAGACAGGTGGCGCTTCAAAATTGTAACTTTAATTTAATTTAAATATTTCATTCAATATTAATGTTGAACATAATTTGTCAGTTTTAATATCGCACGTTTAATGAATGTGATGGAATTAATATAATTTAATTATTTTCAAATTAATTCATCCCAGTTAAACTTGTTATGACAATTTACAACATATCCTTCGATACAGACTCCTAAACGAACATATCCGCGAAAGAGTCAAAGTCACTGACATAGCCCGAAGGACAAGCAAGCAGAAGTGGCAATGGGCTGGTCATATAGTTCTTGGGTGGCGACCCCGTACAGGCAAACGCAGTGTGGGACGACCCCGCCCTAGATGGAGTGACGACCTCAAATGCATTGCAGGGTGTCAGCGACTGCAAGTGGCTTACGACAGTTTATTATAATAGTCTATGGGTGACAGCGGTGACTGACAATTACCAATTGTTTTTTTTATACAACTTAGAATGGCAAACAAGCTGACGGTCCACCTGATGGAAAGTGGTAACCGTCGCCAATAGATATGTGCATTACCACGGACATAACATAACTGTTTCGCCCATGATACCCCCCGTGCGTTGCCATTCCTGAGGACTCAGATGTTATTCCTCTGTACCCAGTAATTTCACGCCATATCCCACCCTTCAAATCGAAACACAGCCATGCAAACACAACTGCTTCACGGTTGATACACGAATGGGACAGAGGTAGCCAAGCAATCGATTTTTGTACAAAGTCTCCCTTTGGTGATATAATAAAAAAAAATTTTTTCGTTCGAAATGTAGTTCGAAAGAATTGTTGAATAACAAATATCGTGAGTAATATTGTATTGTAATATTCAATTTAGTTGATCTGCGTGCTACATTACTGCGCGCCGGTGACTTTCCATCGACGATAGCGTTCGTGCGTGCGTGCAGGGGAAACGCTGACGTCACCCGACCACGCTACTCACGTACACGCACGACTCGCTCACGTGGGCCGGCCATTGGCGTGGCGTGTACGCGTCTCCCCCTCGCACCCGCGCCCCACACCGCCACCGCCGTACCGTTCTCTCTCAGTCTATATCGAACTGCCAACGTGTGTACTTTATCGCAATCATGTCCAACACTAATATTCATTTCACAATGGAACTACTTATAGAAAATGTGAAGCAGTACCCATGCTTGTGGGACGTGAACAATATTCTGTATAGAGACTCGGAACGGAAGGACTTAATTTGGGAGATGGTAGCTAGAGCATGCGGTTTACCTAATGGTAAGTAAAGCTTGTGAGCATTTGTATAATTTGTTTTAATATGTAGTTAATTACAATTCAATGAGATGGTAACCAAGTTTAGTTGAATTTATTACAATATACATTCCATTTGAAATATATTATATAAGGTATCATGTTCAATCATTTTTTTTTTCGATTGGTGAAAATGGTAACCCTGCGCTAACGGGATACGCTGGCGGAGCACCAGTGAAGGGTGATAGATAAGAATGAAAACAGGCCAGTTAGTCCATCATGATGCATTCATCAGGAATTAACCACGATAGTTTCCAGGGAGAACCGCGAGGAGGTGGACCTGGTTGGGTATATTGCTAGCAATGGGATTCTCAGTCTCCATTACTAACAATCCCTTTCCCCCCAATGTTCAATCAATTACCTAATCGATTTTTAATGCAATAAGTATTGTAATTAGGTTAATTATTAGTTAATGATTATTCGTTTGTTTAAATTATACAAGTTATTACAATATAGGCAAATATATATAGAAAAATATATTTAAGATATAAGAAATTATCATTATGGATGACAAAAACAAAAATAATTAAGAAATGCTTGCAACTTTTAGAAACAGAAATGTTGGTCCTGTGGTGTGTGCAGCAATTACTTCTCACTTAGCCTAATCTAAATTTTACATTTACAGGATCAGTAGCAAGATCACAATGGAAAAGATTACGGGAGTGCCACAGGGAAGCGCTGCGACGTAAAAAAATTGCTGCTGAAAGGGGCCACATTAGAAGCACGTGTTGGAAGTTTGAGAGAGAGATGGAGTTTCTCATACCGCCGGAGAAGAGAGATAATAATTCTTCAAATATGTCATCAGCGGATTCTGGTGTAAGCAGTAATGTTAAAATTGACTCGCCAATACCACTTCCGTTTCGAGTGGAGCTAATAAATAAGAATAGCACTGTTGACGACGTCATTCACGAGAGAAGAGACAATAAACAGACGGAAAGAGAACAAATGAGACGGCAAGCTGTCGACGCGAATCGTTTCCCTAACGATGGGCTGAGCGATTTGTTCTCCAGTCTTTGTCAGAAGACACGGGAACTGCCCAAGTATTTACAATTGCGGGTGCAGAGGGAAGTTTTCGAATCAGTCACCCGTGCTGAGGAGGAAGCCTTGTCGCTTGATCAAACCGTGAACATGAGCTCCAGCCGAAGATCCTCTACATCATCGTATGAATACGTAAACCCGAGGCCGGGTTCATCTGCGACTGTTCAGCCAAAGGATGAAGTAGACATCGAAGATGAAGGAATGCAGATTAAACAGGAGCCGTAATGATAGATTTGTAATTTTAAAATAAGCACATAGATGGCGTTGGGAACATGATACTGCGGCCATTGTTATTAATTCTCTTCCATTATATGTTTTAATTATATTTTTTTAATACAATAAACATATTTCACTGCTGCATTATTGTTGTTGTAATTTGTGCTCTCAGAACAGGAGATAGTAGAGTGCATTTTAAAGAAATGGTAACATCTAGTTAACGTTTTTCATCGATTAGATTTGACCCCAATTAAATTGCGTTCAAAATCACGCAAGAGAGGGATATTAATACCATGTTAATTAATATAAAAGTACGGTTTTCACTATTGAATGAGTTATTTTTATACTTTAGCATTATATAAATTGAATATTTAGCATTATATAAAACAGTTAATTTTTTTATGTAACTTTGAATGGCAAACAAACTGTCGGTCTACCTAAATGGAAAGTGGTAACCGTCGCCTATAGATATGAACAGTCTCTACCATGGCTTTAACAGGGTATATTGTGTCGCTCATGATATACCTTATGCGTTGCTGTTCCTGAAGCCTAAGGTGTTATGCCTTTATATTTTTTTTAATAGATGATAATGGAATGGTAACACCGTCCGCGCTATCGGTATACGCTGGCGGGACACCAGTGAAGTATGATAGGTGAGGATGAAAGCAGGTCAGTTAGCCCATCGTGACGAATGCTCCTTGCATTCGTTACATGGGTTAACTGTTAATCACAATGGTTTTTAAGGGGAACCGCGAGGAGGTCGACCTGACAGGGCTTGCTAGCAATGGGGCCATCAGTCCACATTACTAACCATCCCTTTCCCCCTATACATCATAATTAGTTAATCTATAAACATAATAGTCTACTTTTACTGATTCGTAGCAATTTGAGTGTTTTTCATTGTACCGAAGGGTTTTTTTTGATAAGTGAAAATGGTATGGTAATCCCTCCTGCGCTAACGGGATACACTGGCGGAGCACCACTGAAGGGTGATAGATGAGAATGAAAACAGGCCAGTTAGCCTATCATGATGAATTCATCAGGAATTAACTATGATAGTTTCCAGGGGGAACCGCGAGGGGGTCGACCTGGTTGGGTATATTGCTAGCAATGGGATTCTCATGTACCGAAGGGTCATGGTACTTGTATTTATGACTGAACCTCGGTAAGGAATATAATAATAATAAACTCTTTATTGCGTACAATAGAGATGTATACAAGGAGTATTTATACAGAATGTGCATATACAAAAGGCCGCCTTATCGCTAAAAGCGATCTCTTACAGACAACCTGGCATAAATAGTGGATAAGTACAAAGAGATTTTTACCAGAGGGAGACTTTGTACAAATGTCGATTGCTTGGGTACCTCTGTCCCATTCGTGTTTCTACCGAGAAACAATTGTGTTTGCATGGCTGTGTTTCGGTTTGAAGGGTGGGATATGGCGTGAATTTACAGGGTACAGAGGAATAACACCTGAGTCCTCAGGAATGGCAACGCATGGGGGTATCACGGGCGAAACAGTATACTCTGTTATGTCCATGGTACTGTTCATGTCTATAGGCGACGGTTACCACTTTCCATCAGGTGGGCCGTCAGCTTGTTTGCCATTCTAAGTTGTATAAAAAAAAAATTATAATATTCATACACATGATAACAGAAAATTTAAAACTTGAAACCAAATAAATAAATCGTAAATTCACAATTACACTTGGTATCCCGACAGCGAAGGGTAACTGGCTTTCAATATTTAGGGAAACGGTATTCCTTAGAAAAATAAATAGACTAGTCTTTTCATTTGTTAGTGTAAAAGAGGATACCATGCCTTAGAAACAATCTATTAAAAAAAAAAACAAAGAGACGAACCAAGGCGCGATTTCCAGAGAATTTATCATATTGAAGACTAAGCAGCATGGTCTCCGACCTTAGCCTGTTCCACAACGGAACAAACGTACTAAAAAAAAAATCAAGGTGCAACCTAATGACTCATCGAGATAACGCGTACGGCGCGACTTCAGTCTCGCAGGAGCCTATTTTACATCCAAACCGTCACAGAATAAATGTATAATGTAATCTTATTTTTATATAAACGATATTTAGGCAAACAAGCAGACGGCCCACCTGATGGAAAGTGGTAACCGTCGCCTATAGACATGAGCAGTACCATGGACATAACAGAGTATACTGTTTCGCCCGTGATACCCCCCATGCGTTGCCATTCCTGAGGACTCAGGTGTTATTCCTCTGTACCCTGTAAATTCACGCCATATCCCACCCTTCAAACCGAAACACGGCCAGCAATCGACTTTTGTACAGTCTCCCTCTGGTAATTTGTTAATGGGTTACCATTCCATTATCACCCATTAAAAAAAAATACACTATCGGGACTTAAGTCGATGAAAATGTTCACGTCGTAACGTTGGCAGTGAAAAAGCAGGCATGGAGGTACTATTTACCTACAATTTTCCATCACGTTAAGTCAGGATAGTATTTAAAATATGTGTTACAACAACGCGAAAGTTTAAAATTAACTAGACGAGAATTCTTAATAGTAAGTTATTCTAGTTATTTTTACAGTTAAAATATAATATACATTATTCTATATTTATTCCATTTATAGCATATAACATAGCATATAATATACCACAATCATATGTGTATGACTATGTAGCTATGACGTCATCGCGCGTGACGTGTTCACGTGATCATGGGCCGCGACGCTGCGCTGTAGTACTCTACCTTAGCTCGTGAAGTTAGTCGACTTGTTCCCTCCACAAACTACACGTGCGTTGATTGTGCGCAGCTCCCTCCCCCCACCTCTCTCACCACACACCGCAGACATCATCCCCTCTCATGCGTTTCTTTGTCAGTGTGTATTCAACATTCGTTTGTGTCTATCGTCGCTTTAAAAATACTGCGTTAAAACTAGTTAATAATAAAAATAATGTTTAAATTTTATAATGATAAACAGGCAATGGAAACATTTATTAGATCCGTTAAAAGTAATCCATGTTTGTGGGATTTGACCAATAAAAAGTATAGAGATTTGGGCATTAAGAATAAAACATGGGCATTGGTGGCCCATGAATGTAATATGTCTAACAGTAAGTTATTTTTTTCTTGGTCTGAGTTCGAATTTTAAATTTATATATAGACATATATATTATATTTGTTTATATTTACACCAGATTTTTTCGGGATCAACATAAAGATAAAGTGTGGGGTCGTTGTCCTCGCCTACCATTAGATTCTGTTAAAAATACTTTGTTTTTCTCATCTATCATAGTAATTTCACTCTTTACGAAGCATGAACACTACTTGCATTTATTGTATTTGACTTACTATATTGCACATATGCAACATGGCTGCATAATGGGTCAAATTGAATTATACCCGGAATGCATTCTAAGTCCTATTACCGTTGATTATAAGTTTATCTACATTGTTGCATGTGTATATTGTGGTACTTATCACCTGTTTATATTGCATGTTGTAAATAAGTGTAAATACACAGTTATATATATTTATATATATATTAATAAAGAACATGTTTCAGTATTGTATGGGCCTAGTCATTGTACACTATAAGTAAAAAAGTATCTATCTGTCCATCTATGCACTGAAACTTCCAAAAGGATATTTATTCATAACAACTACAAAAATTCATTATAGCGCATCTTGGATGTCACAGTGTATTCTATTTAATCTGTGGTACTGCATTAGAGGTATACTAAAATATAATTGAATTGAATACATCTTTTATAATAATTTTGCTTTGTTTTCGGACACAAAATAAATCTAAAACAAAAGAATTGCATTATACAGTCAAACAGGATGAAATAATAATTAACGCCATTTTGATTGACCTTTTTATGGGCACTAATATATGAAAATCCATAAACAGCTATCAGACACGAGAAATATTTAAAAATTCGTATCACAAAATTAAACGTCTATATTTTGGAATATACCTATTTAGATCTATAATTCATTTACAGTTTGGGCAACGATTTACGTAATCTTAATAAATATAATTAAAGCAAGAAATTAGTCAATTAATGAAGTGGATTCACTGTTAAGATAAAATTTGAGATATTGTACAATGGCTGGCAAAGTGAAACATATTCTTTAAGTACATTTCGTTTTTTTATTCGTTACGTTTCGTTTCGTTTACAGAACAACAAGCAAAAGCATATTGGCATAGATTACGCTATGGTCTCCGTAACGCGTTACGACGAAGAAAAAGGGGATATTTGGTTAACGCTTGTTGGATGTATGAAAAACAAATGGAATTCATCTTACCATATTTAGGGATAAAACACTATTTGTCAAGTATTGCAGTAGGCTCTGATGTGAGCGATTCTCCTCTCCTTTTACCTCGTGATGCTTTGACAAATTTATTTTCAAGTTTGTACCAGAAGACTCGAGATCTTCCTAAACATTTACAATTGAGGGTACAGAGAGAGATCTCCGAGTCAGTTACTCGCGCAGAGGAAGAAGTCTTGTTGCGTGATCAGTCACGGATCTCGGGAATTAAGGTCTGTACCACCAGACTTTCTACACTATCGCATGATGATCCCTTGTCCACTTCATCTACGAGTCATCAGTCAATAAATGAAATGGTTATCGAGGACGAAGGTGTGCAGTTTCCACCAGGTTATGAACAAGAGTAAGGAAATTATTGTTATTCAATTATAAGAATGTATTGTTCAGTTTTTTTTATTAAATAAACAATTTATAACGCCATGATATTTGTTTGAATTCCTACATTTTTACCAGAGGGAGACTCTGTACAAAAGTCGATTGCTTGGGTACTTCTGTCCTATTCGTGTTTCAACCGTGAAGCAGTTGTGTTTGCATGGCTGTGTTTCTGTTTGAAGGGTAGGATATGGCGTGAATTTATTGGATACAGAGGAATAACACCTGAGTCCTCAGAATTGGCAACGTATGGGGGGTATCATGGGCGAAACAGTATACTCTGTTATGTCCATGGTACTGCTCATGTTTATTGGCGACGGTTACCACTTCCATCAGGTGGACCGCCAGCTTGTTTGCCATTCTAAGTTGCATAAAAAAAACCATCAGGACAACTCTATGGTATTTAGTAACGCAAATTGTGGGTACCTATATCTTAGTCGTGTGGACCCGGCATAGAATGAGGTATCCCTCCCTTTCCTGTGGGTGTCGTTGGAGGCGACTAAGAGAGGGCGAGGGATTGGCTGTAGCATCCCTCTTTAAAACATCTCTAAAAGCCTAACTGCGGTTGCCTACCCGCTTGCCAAACGTTGCAACTACTGGCAAAACTCCGCTTATGGGGAAGGCTTATGTTTAGCTGTGGACAGTTAACAGCCGAAATAATAATATATATATATAATAATAATTTTGTGAACGGTTGAACGGTGAACGGTCTAATCCCAACCAGTCTTGAACAACATCTCAGACGGTTGGGATTCCGAGGCGGCTCACTCCCGGGAAAGATGCAGAAAGCGGTGCTCTTAGATTTTACCCGCATTGTACGCCAGTTTCTCTCCCTGGGGCCCTGAACCCCGGCCGACTGTGCTTTTGCCGGGGGTTAGTTGCCATCTCCTCTTCTTAAGAGGGGAGATGAGAATTTTTGTAAAATTTAAAATAATAATAATAAAACAACACATTTTTCTTTAAATGATTTTTTTTTATAAAATGTTATTTTAATACCTCACAATAACTGTATTAATTGAATAATATTACGTACTACAATAATGTAAGATCCCCGAGAAAGCCTACAGATCTGTAGTACAGGTTTCGACCTAGTTCAGACTCCAGATTCCCTCAAAGGACCCCCATTTTAAGATAAAAATCTAAATAGTTATGCACTGTAATGTATCCTTGTAAGTGGTAAATAAAAAAAAGATATTAAGAATAAGAATATTTGTTAATGTTACTTATTATACTTTAAATACATTTTTGTTCAGATCTTGCAATAATTATAATATTAAATTTACTAGTATAGATATATTTAACTGTAGGATCTTAACCTACAGGAAATATCTCATAATTATGTAATTACTATTGAATGGGTAATTTATTTCTGTCTATTCACTGTTAAATATCGTCATCTCTATGGCAAATTTACGAATCTGCAGTTTTTTCAAATTTGACATTTCTTTAAAAATCTACATTTTGCGTCATACTACTTATTGTGGCTTATTTTCAAATTTCTATCTCTAACGGTTAAAGAAATCAAGTAGCTCGAATCTCCATATTTTTGTGATATACCCAAAGTAAACTTACTTAGCATATTTTTATAGTATTTTCTATAATAAACACTTTAATTTGAAAATTTCAATAATTATTTTATCAATTTTTCAATCCTAATTTAGTTATTTTACATAAATGGTTGCTATAACGTTGTTATTTAAACTTTTTCTCCAAAACACGTGATTTATACCTTGGTATATTTACGAAAGTGGCACTTTCGTTAGTTTGCCACATATTAAAATAAATGTTTTTCTTTGGCAACTTACGAAACTGCCACTTTCGTAGATTTGCTGTTGTATAACTCAATACCTAGGAACTCTCATGTATGAAGGTGCAAAGTAACGAATATGCATTTATTTCTGATACTTGTAATATAATAATAATTAATTAAGCGCATTCAATAAAAAACAGGATTTTAAAACATAAAATGTTAGCATGATCTTTTACTAGTCTTCTGTCACAAGTTATTTGCATTCTAATGTTTTAAAACGTTCCCCTGTAAAATGTATCTTTTTCAGTTTCGCAAGTTTACCATAAAGGTGACGATATGTTCTATTTACTTGTGGAAACCATTAATCAAGGGGTGGTCCATTCTATGTCAGGGCACACACGGCAATGTGTTACTTGATGTTCATTATTTTCTAACTAACTTTTTATACCATACCTACCATATTGTTGACAATAAACATACATTCCTAATACCCATATTATGTCGTTATGTCAATATAAGTTGGCCCTAATTAGCTGCGGTAAGCCGGTAAGTTCGCGCGCCGCGTTGCCGCCGTCGTGTCGTGTCACGACCGCGTCCGGCCGACACGATTTACAAGCCATTACGTTATTTATTGCAGTATGACACTCACGAACCTTGTCAAAATGTTATTTATATTAATTCTGGTACGGCCGGGGTAATGGTGGCCGATCGGAAGCGGGAGTGAAGTCGTGTAAAACACAAGTATGGGAATCTTTTTTCCTTGTTGCGATTAGTATTCTGTAGTGTGGTCGCGTACTAAGAATACAATGTGCCATCACTCCTTTTTATCCCTAGCACGTTGATTATGAGAAGATGCATAATTCTAATGCAATAAGGAAAAATAGATGTAAGACGCCTGCCTGACAACTGTGATAAAAATCAATATTCTTGTCTATAGACGATGGTTACCACTTTCCAACATTAGACCTTCGACTTATTTACCATTATTAGAATTGTCTCCTTTTTTTTCTTTATTAGTACTTCACTCTAATCATCGACATTGTTGATTATTTAAACTCTCCTTATGCTACAGCTATAGAGGTATATATTTTATTTTATATACAACTTAGAATGGCAAACAAGCTGACGGCCCACCTTATGAAAAGTAGTAACGATCGTCTATAGACATGAGCAGTACCATGGACATAACAGAGTATACTGTTTCGCCCATGATACCTCCCATGCGTTGCCATTCCTGAGGACTCGGATGTTATTCCTCTGTACCCAGTAAATTCACGCCATATCCCACCCTTCAAACCGAAACACAGCCATGCAAACACAACTGCTTTACGTTTGAAACACGAATGGGACAGAGGTACCCAAGCAAACGACATTTGTACAAAGTCTCCCTCTGATAAATAAATATATAGTAAATGCATTCTCCATATATGTATAGTAAATCATTGCTTTTCAATATCACAAGTAAAATCAGCACTAAGTTTAATTATAAAACTTCGAATTTAATTAGATACACAATATAGTTATTAGTCGTCGACATATTCTAGACTCCTCGCTTGACATTTTAATGACATATTAAACATCAATTCTGACAGATGTCACTGACAACTTATACAGATACTCATCGCCTACATATTTCACTTTTCAATAGATAGAAAGCCAGCCCGTTTGCTATTTTCAATTTCACAATTCCTGATGGGTGGGGCGAAAGGGATTGTTAGTAATGGAGACTGAGAATCCCATTGCTAGCAATATACCCAACAAGGTCGATCTCCTCGCGGTTGTCCCTGGAAACTATCATGGTTAATTCCTGATGAATTCATCATGATGGGCTAACTGGCCTGTTTTCATTCTCATCAATCACCCTTCACTGGTGCTCCGCCAGCGTATCCTGTTAGCGCAGGCGGGATTACCATTCCATTTTCACCCATAAAAAAATACCTAATGGGTTAAGTTAAGAGCTATCACGTGGTTTACTTAGTTATATCAACGTCTGGAACAAACATGTAATCACTTGTCGTTTCCGCTACCGCTTAATCAGTAACTGCAATACTACACCGCCGTGGGCGCACCATCCAATAAATATGTAATTAATAACAATAACACATTGGACATTACAGACGGAATAACTCAATCATGCCGGGCCGCCGTCCTCGTTGACGAATCTACGGGCGCGCCGCGTCGCTGCTGACTGTATAACGAATATTGGATTAGAAGGGTTAAACATTTGTGAATGATGGAATGCTAAGTGAAATATATTGTGGATAACACGGTCTCGGAAATGTGTTCGGTCGTGGTACGCGTTAGTTCGTGACATTGACGTTATGCTTACGACGTCGTTCTTTGAATGAAAACTTTATGTATTTTCAACCGGCTTTAAAGAGAAGGAGGTGCTCAATTCGTTTGTATTTTTTTTAAGTTTGTTATTATTTTAACAAATTTGTTATGTATAATAAATTGCCTATTAAATCTAATATAAAATATTACTTTAACTTTCTATCAATTTAATCCAATCCTTTTTTCTTTTTTATGCAACGTAGAATGGTAAACAAACTGTCGGCTCGCCCGATGGAAAATAATAACCATCGCCTATAGAAATGAATGAACGAACGAACGAGTTTATTGTTAAAAATGTGGTACAATAATGTGATATTGTGATGATGACATAAAAAGTATCTATCCCCATGCGAAGCCGCGGCGGATCGCTAGTATTGCACGAAAGTTTAGGTCTAATAAAAGAAATATCAACTTACTTTCATATCCTTGCCAATATTTTAGTACAAAGAGAAGAGATATAATGAAATTACATATATTTACCATCTGTAACGATTTCTATTATATAAACAGTGCTTGTCTTCTACGCAAACGCTTCCTGTCCCCTCAGCCTTGACCTTCTGAATAGCAATCAGCTAGAGTTCGTTCAAAAGATTTCAAGTGCGCTGTTCGTTCAACAATACTCTGTCCGGATCTCTCTTTGCTCTACGTTTTCATGTAAATCTAACCTTTTATCGTTTCGTATCATAATTTCCGAAGCTTCCAAGAAATGTTAATTATTAAAATTACCTGCCTATCTAATGGAAATGTTCCTTGAATTTATCGTTATTCTAATATTTGGTAAAATCCATTGTCCAATCTATCCTTGTCTAAAATCCATTAATATTAAGTTGTCTAAAGTGTTTGGATGTCAAATGTATTTGTTTCTTAATCCTACCGTTAAACCAATATTTATTACATAAAATTTTTTTTTATAGGTGATAATGAAATAGTAATAAAACCACGATAAGATATTATCCTCATTAGAGCATCACACATCTTTGCACGAGATGAATTTAACGCAATACGGCGCAAACGAATTCTTTCGCTGTTGGGCAGGGTGCGTGTTAGTTCAAACAATGTCCTGAAGACAACTGCCGGTAAAATGCACTGTCCCATCCTAGAATATTGGGTGGGACAGGTGATCAATGCAAGAGCATCATGACCGCTCATTTACTAACATAGGTTAAGTAAATTTATAATTAATAAAATGGGCCTTATGTTGTCTAAATAAATAGTAATAATTATTATTATTACAACCTTCTATATGACGAAATAGTTGAACAACTAATGCGACATGTTAAAGCGAACATAGAACACATTTGACGTTGGATAAGGTCGTAAATAAATTGTAATTCAATACTAGTTAAATTTTGGTGTTGCCACTGTAAAACTGGGGAAATGAGGCTAATTAAAAAGACGTGTTGAACAAAATTAAGCTAAGGTTTCCGTTTCCGTGTCGTCAGAATAAATAGCAGGCCATTGCATTGCTTTTGTCAATGACAGCAACACAAGTATAAAACTGAATGGAACAGTCGTTGAGTAGTAAACTTGTTGCGGTCTGCTCTAGCAGTTAAATCCGTGATTAATTTAGCAAAATATATGAAAATTTAATTTTTTTAAATGATTTTAGAGCGGTGTTTCCCAACGTGGGGCCCATGCCTCACAGGAGGGGCAATTTGATAGTTAAGGGGGGGTAATTAAAAAATGGACTCGAAGCGATTTTAACATTTTTGCTCCGGGACATTTAAATGCAATGCTACGAGTAGATATCGGTGCCAAATTTAACTAAAAAGGTAAGGAAGGGGTGGCCTATTCTATGCAGGGACCACACGGTAATGACGTAATTACTCGTATGTGTTATTTTTTTTTATGGGTGAAAATGGTATGGTATCCCCGCCTGCGCTAACAGTATACGCTGGCGGAGAACCAGTGAAGGGTGATAGATGAGAATGAGGACAGACCAGTTAGCCCGTCATGACGGATTCATCAGGAATTAACCATGATAGTTTCCAGGGGGAACCGCGAGGAGATCGACCTAGTTGGGTATATTGCTAGCAATGGGATTCTCAGTCTCCAGTACTAACAATCCCTTTCCCCCCAATTAGGTGTTATGTATTTACTTATTGGGCTATATCTTCATGATCTCCATAGATATTTTTATCTACGATGCGCTAAATAATTTTCTTTCCACGTCCTATTTCTATCTCCATGTTGGTACATTGAACAATGGCGGGTGGCTCGGATTTCACATTGACGTATTGTTCCCTTTTCATCTCGTAATTAGCATTATTTCTGATGAATGAACGAAGAATGTCTATTTTGGCAATTGCTTTACTGCTTACGACGGCGAGAGATTTTGTATTGTGAGGAAATGTGCTTTACTCAGCGTTACAGAGCCGTATATATTAAGGGGGGAGGGGGATTGTTAGTAATGGGGACTAGCTACTCCATTCCTAGCAATATAATCTATCAGGTAGGTACTATTACGCAGTTTTCGTGATTAATATCTTAATGAATTCCTCACGATGGGCCAATTAACCTACTTTCATCCTCATCTATCATCTTCCACTGGTGCCCTGCCAGCGTATACCGATAGCGCAGGCGGGGTTACCATACCATTATCGTTAAAAAGAAGAACACATGTTGAGTATGAGCCTTTTTAACGATTAGAATATATTTTCTTACTCAAAAATTGCTATAAGTGTGTGAGGGCGGTGTCAAGTGTTTCCAAGTTACCTTTATTGAAGGGTTATTATTTTATTGAATTAGCTATGTATCTATTTGAAATATTTGTGATTGCAGTTAGTAAAAGGGTCGGCAACGCGCGCGTAATACCCTTGGTATTGCAGATGTACATAGGCTACGGTAACCGCTTACTATAAGGAGGGCCGTATGCTTGTTTGCCACCTCAGTGGTATATAAAAAAAAAGTTAAAATATTCCACGTTTTAATCTATCTGGATTTTAAATAATCGCAGACTCTCATCTTTGTTGAATTATTGTGAAGTTTGGAATTAATTTCTCAGTCATGTGTGTCTATTGGCGTATTTAAGATTATTTTCTCAGGGTAGGCTCTTAAAAAAGGTGCATGTGTTTTTTTAGACCTATGCTTATAGTTGAAAGATCCGCTACAAATCGTATGATAGCCACTAGACAATTCTCGGGCATGGTCTGCTCAATATCCTTTTAATACGTGGTATGTGATTACTTCGACTGGCTACTAAAAAAAATCATTCAAATTCATTCAAATATTTAAGCGTGATTAAGTACCAAACATCCAAACACGGCTGCAAAGTTTTTCAGAATATAATTTAAATCTTTCTCTTAAATAAAGGGATTTCGGTGGAGTTTTAGCTTTTATTGCCTACTTCATCTCACACTAAGGTCGCTGGTTCAGGGTAGGTGCATTGTCGTTGCTTATTTTTCATCAATATTATATAAATGTACACGTATAGAAATTAATAAAATAATAAATTAAGTCTAGACTCACTCTAAATAAATAGGATAATTATACTAAATAGATATAAAAGCGTGCGTGTGTGCGTGCATGTGTGCGTGCATGCGTGCGTGCATGCGTGCGTGTGTGCGCGTGTTGTAGTAATTGAAGAGTGCAATGTCACAAAAGTATTACAAATAATACAGATAAACTAAACACTTCTATTATAAGAATGAATAAGACAACTATTGCATAAAGTTATGACAATAAATCTATTATTTTGACGGTTTTAATCTTAATGTACAGACATGCAACTCAGCTTGCTATCCTTAACAGCAATAGGTGGTCGCAATTTATCACCATGTGTACAAAGACAACGTTTTCCCGCGCTTTGCAGCAGCTCCACAAAATGGCGTCGCATTGTCAGTGCAATGGCGGATCGGTCGTGTAACAATAAATGGAAACTGGCTAGGTTCCAAAATACAGGACTAAGCTGTACTCTTGTGAAAATAAGGCCACTTTCTATGATTTCGTTCTAGTTCTCTTTTAATATCGGCCATTTAAACGACTACTGAGAGAAGAGCACTCAATTTGTGTATATTTTTGTTTATATATACCTAAATTCATAAAAGTCATTTTCAATTCAAAACCGATTTTGATAATTCATTTTTCTAATCGGTATAGGTTTTTTCTTGTACCTACTAATCTTATATAGATAGGTAAATTAGTTTTATAACAATTGAAACCGCAGTTTATTTTTGCGCAGCGAAGTGTTTATTGCAACAAGCTGGAGCAATATCTCTAAGGTAGACACAATTTGGTAAATTAATATAAACTACTACACCCCAAATTGAATCTATAAAATGTTTCATCGTTCATCAATTTCTTTTATTGGTTTTAAAATAAAAAAGCATGAGATAAGTTATTTAATTAAAATAATTACTGCCATAGGGAACAGTCCTGGCGTGTGGCGTATGAGGTGGTCACTCAAGAACCTTTCTTTCTTGTATTCTATGTTGATGTTTACATACGTACCTTTTTAAAGAAATTGAAATAGGTGATTTTTTTTTTTATTGGATGAAAATGGAGTGGTAACCTCGCCTGCGCTAATGGGATACGCTGGCGGGACACCAGTGAAGGGTGATCAATGAGGATGAAAACAGGCCAGTTAGCCCATCGTGATGAATTCATCAGGAATTAACCATGATAGTTTTCAGGGGGAACCGCGAGGAGGTCGACCTGGTTGGATATATTGCTAGCGATGGGATTCTTAGTCTCCATTATTAACATTCCATTTTCGCCTCGAAATAGGTGATTAGGTCACGTGCAAGCGATTCCACAGTGCGATCGAATGTGTAGAAGCGCAGTTTAAATTGAAGCCGATAGTCTTATGGACGATAAGAGTTTAACTGCAGTTTACAGTGAGTTGCTGCGTACTTATCACCTGAAGTTTTAATGGCTACGTTTGTTTAATGTTACCCATAGTTTGTGTAGCAAGTGTTCTCTGCTTGGAGACGATTTAAACTAACAGAAAGTCATAAAACTTATTAAATCGATGCATTTGTAAGAAATTATATATATATATATATATATATATATATATATATATATATATATATATATATATATATATATATTCTTTATTGCACTTGTAAGTTAC